AAACTGAGGCTTGATAATTATCGCTATCATGCGAAAACCGAATCCAAGAATTGTTTTATTATGCCCATTCCTGAGCTGCACTTGTAAAGACAAGAGCGCATAAAACTATCACGGTCTGTAGGTATGACGTCACTTCTGCATATGTTAAATCTATTGCCTGTAGGTATAACGTAAGAAAGTGTATAATGATAACAAATCTTATCTATGATTCATTGTATTACCTTACAGCCTGTAAAACTGGAAAAAAAGAGAGAAAGAAAAGGAAAGTCTCTGACCTTTTATTGCTGTAACGACTAACCTAACGTTTTGTCGTCCCCTATTCAAAAATTGTATTTCCTGTTATATTAGACAAGTCTTATCGGAGGGTCTCATTGGGGTTAACCGATAGCCGTCAAAACAACCGAAAAATTAGGCGTAATAATTCCTGGACAAATTTTAACCGATAGTCCATCCAAGACTATTAGAACATCAAAGCAAAAGGGTCATGGGGGAAGAGGGTTAGCTCTTCCTAATGCCCGAGCAGAAACCAAACAAAACTAACGAAGCAATTCATCAAATGTCCATTTATGACCAACAAAGGATAAACTTTTAGTTACCTGACCAGAAAAACGTTTCTTGTCAAGAGTGTGCTCAGATCCTCTATCATTTTCGCATCCGAAATGAACATGGAACTGGTCCAGCGTATAGGTGCTGTCCAAGAGACCTCCTGTAATTTTTGCGGTTCCGTTGTCTTTGTCAATTTTAAGTTTCGGAAAATAACCTGTGTTTATGAGTGTTCCGACCACCAAGCCCTTGGGTTTGTCGAAAGTTATTTTCAGGGTAGGGAAATCTCCTTCACTCACACTGCTAGTGTTGATGTTGATCGGGGATTGGCGGCTTCCCCCGCAATTCTCCCAAATATCTTTCCAATGGCTAGGTCCAGGCGCTACAGAGAAATACAGGTTGATATTTTAAGCGGAACTTCTTTTTTAGCATTCAACACCACACATGCAATAGATGAATAATTTTTGTTGGTCACATTTTTACAGGGGCTCTTTAGTACCAAGGCAAACAAAGATTGAAAGAGCTTTTTCAAATATGGCAAGCGGCCCACCTGGCCGCGGTTGTTCGTTGGATGGATGACGCTCTACAGATCGAGGATAGTGAACCCTAGCGCAAGACTTAAACCCGAGACCATCAGATTACAAGGCCACTGCCCTAACCTCTCAGTCATGCTGCCTCCTTCATATCCACTTTAGATGGTATATAATCGTCGAAGTAATGAAAGCCTCGTGTCTTTCCCACCTGTGTGACTGATATGATTGCTTTTGACGGGGGCCTAAGGGAGAGTTTTCCTCAATGCAACTCAAGGCTAAGCCTTAAGGAGGGTCTCCATGGTTGAATACTACTTGGCCAAATGAGTTTAATCTATATTTTCATTTCCTCAGATATTTCATCAATGTTTCTTTTTATATTTAGCTTTTGTATAGTTATATAGTTACCGGTAGTATTGTATAAATTCACGTTAAGAAATAAAGTTGATTTTCGATTCATTCACTATTCATCGCTCGATGCCATCAAATTAATCCGCCTACCTCTTCCCGGTCTTTATTCAGAAGGTGGCAAGCTGAGATCGACAAACAGACAAAGGCTAAAAACTATTTGTCTTAATTATTTGGAAAAGCTGACAACTCAAGCATTTTAAACATGATAAGAAAATCGTCGACTGTTTCCGATAAAGTCACCAATTTACGCGCTCCTTGTTGGGGCGAAGAAACCTCGACATTATGTACGTCAACTAATATACTTAGCGCCGTGAATTAACCACATAAAATAAATATTACTTTGGTGACCGAAAACTTAACACGATGAAAAACAGTATCTAGCCCTAAAGAAGTCGAGAACCACGAGCTTACATCAGAGGCGCTGTATTGTGGAGTTTTTCTTTAAGATCATTTCAATGACTCTAGTTATAGAAAGATGAAATCTAGTCCCAGTTTAGGGAAATCAGATTTACCAGCTTATCCGCACAGTCGGTGGCGAAGAAGACATCCGATTTTCAATTTTATATTATCTTAAATTACGAAGTTACATTTTGCATGTATTTACTTTTGAGTCTGATTATCCATTTGATATATTTTATCCAATTTTACTTCTGGGTTACTTAGGTACCAGCTGGTTGCACACGACTCCTCAAGCATGTAACGCTTTCATTCTTATCGTTTGAAATAAAGGATCTTACTAACGTTTTTTCCTTATTATATAAGCTTATTTACTTACTTATGACTTCCTTGGAACGTCAGTTTTTTGCTAAGCTCTACTAGGACTACATTTGCCTATAGATTCATATCTATTCAAACGATTTTTGACCTTGACCATTTGCTTTTATAGTTATGTGTAATACCTTGGTCTGTACTATCTCCGTAGACAAACTGCAGGTGATGTGAAATATTTTCAGCTGTAGTAAAGAGTAAAGAAACAAGAAAAATGTAAGATAAGAATGTAAGCAAATAATTCAATTTAAAATTTTCCAGACAAAATGAAGCTAGATAGATAGATAGTTTAATCTCAAAAGCATTGCAGCCCAAGGGCTGAATTACACATTTTTACAATCCAAGAATTTTAAAATCTAAATTTAAAATTCGAAAACCTAATTACACATCTTATTATACCAACAGTTTACAATATTATAACATAATCATAAATTAGATAAAACATATTAGCTATAAATGTAAATTAATTGAAATAGATGTAAATTAATTAAAAGTATCTACATTATCATCATCATC